GAGAAGGAGAGACGCTCCGAGGTCCACAGCTCACACCTTCAAAGAAATCAGTGTGAAGAAAACGTTCCTCTGCTTCTGACGGCAAATATTAACCCTCAAGTCGACCTTTTCTGCTGCTTCACGTCTGAAATAAAACGCTAATAAAATGTGTGTAGTGTAAGAATGTATTATGAACATCATAAGAACAAGAAGAGCACAGGACACCTCTAAAAGTGCTCCAGAAGTTAAAGTGAAATTCAGCGTTTTGTTGGAGGTTCTGACTCATCCTGAAGAAAACACACGAGAGCGTCTTTAAGGAAGTGTCTGTCAGGAAGTGTCTGTCAGGAAGTGATTTTTAAATAGGCCGTTGATGAATGGATTTCAGTCGGACCGATTTTTTAAGATGAATGTAGAACATCCTGAGCTGAAACACTTCCTGCCAAGGACGCTGATGGTCTATTTAAACCTCTTCTAGGTCACAGAGAGCCGGTTACACAGAGCGACCACAGAGTGTGTTTTGTAGTGTCTGACACATAAATGCTGTGAACAAATATCCCTGAAGTCACCGATGATCCCTGAAGTCTTCAGGAGTTTAGTGATGATGGTGGATGAGTAGCACGAGATAGAGAGAGGGCGGACACCGAATGTTTGCTTTAAGGAAAGACTTCTGGGGTACCTGTGGCAAAGTCCTCCAAGCTGGGGCGCCGCGGGTTCAAATCTGACCTGAGGCTCCTTTCCCGCATGTCACTCCACTCTCTCTCTGTCTCTACAATAAAGCCTGAAAAAAAATCTAAGAAAAGAAAAGCAGCAAAGTTTCTGGCTACTTCGATTTTTTGAGTTATTTGGTCAAAAAAACTCAACAGCTGTTCACACACACACACACACACACACACACACACACACACACACACACACACACACACACACACACAGATAACAAACAAAGGCATGATGAGTTCATTTTAAAATCGATTTTTCAATGAAATATTATTTCAACTTTATTTTGCATGAAATGTATTTAAAAGATAATAAGCGTAAAAGATTATAAGTGTATAAAGATAGATTTAAATGATGATTTAAATGAACTTAAACTTTGGTGACAGAATGAGAGCTGCCATAAAAGAGATAAACAACGGTCTCTACTGCCATCTAGTGGTCGTAATGAGACATTACAGCCCCTCCTGTCACTTCTTTTAAATTCTGTTTACAATAACAGAGTTATAACAGAACAATAAACACAACGCACATTAAAACACATCACAAAGTTCAGTCTTTAAAAGTGGACTGTTAAAAATAAAAAGGGTCTTTTTATTTTGTTCAGGGGGGTTATTACAGAGGGAACGAAGGATGTTTTTGTAGATGATTTTGAGCCAGAGGGACTTTGTAGTGTCTGCATGAGGGCAGGGTGAGAGAGTCCTCTGTGATCAGGGTGAGGGGGGTGAGAGGGTCAAGAAAGATGACTCATCTGGTGCCCTCTTCTTGACCTTTTCTCAATTTCAAATATCGACATAATCAAGTAAACCAGGACAGAGACATTTGTATTTTTTATGTATGTTTTATGTGTAGTGGCGACTGTGGCTCAGTCGTTCGTCTCTAAACTGGAAGGTCAGGGGTCACATCACCAGCTCCTGCAGCCACATGTCCTTTGGCAAGACTCGGCAAGTTGCTCCCACTGCTTCAGTGGTGTGTGAATGTGTATGAATGGATGAATTAATACTGATGGACTCTTTACGCAGCAGCCTCTACCATCAGTGTGTTACCTGCGGTGTAAAATCACAGTAGACGAAGCAGCGGGAGCAACTTGGGGTTAAGGGTCTTGCCCAAGAGAACATCGGACATGTGGCTGCAGGAGCTGGGGATCGAACCCCCGACCTCCAATCCTCCTATTGAGAGACGACCGACTCGACCACTGATCACCAGCCGCCACTTAATGGGCCATCACTCCTGGCACCGCCACCAAAAACTAGGAGCTGGTCTTATAAACAAAAAGTCTACACAGTAAAACATTAAAATAATGTTACATGCACTACACCGTTCTCTCTCTCTTTCTGTTCCCCCCTCCTCCCTCTACCTGCTGCACGCCTGAGTGCAATCTGTGTTCAGGAGGAGGAGGAGGAGGAGGAGGAGGAGGAGGAGGAAGAAGAGGAGGAGGAGGAGGAGGAGGAGGAAGAGGAGGAGGAGGCGGATTTAGAGGAGCCAGGTAGGTGAGACTCTGACACACACTCTCTGGGCAGCAATGTTGTTCCACGTTTTTACTGTGTAATCTTTTTTCCTTGATCCAGGTTTTTGGGTTCAGATTGTTATGCTTTCTTATTTTAGTTACGAGCGGAGACACAGGTACTCCTTTCTTTTCTCTAGTTAAGGTTAGTCTTGGGGCAGCACGGTGCTGCAGTGGTTAGCGCTGTCCCCTTAAAGTGAGGAAGTTCCTGGTTTAAATCCCCATCTGACAGGAGCCTCTCTGTGTGGAGTTTACATGTTCTCCCCGTGCATGTGTGGGTTCTCTTCCGGGTATGATACATGCTCGTTAGGTTAACTGCTGACTCTAAATTGTCCGTAGGTGTGAATGTGAGTGTGGCTGGTTGTCTGTCTCTATATGTGATTGGCCGGCGACCAGTCCAGGGTGTAACTCCGCCTCTCTGCCAATGACAGCTGGGATCGGCTCCAGCCCCCCACAACCCTGAACGGGGAAAAGCGGTAAAGATAGTCGAGGGATGGATGGATGCTCTATACGTCTGTGCAACGTTCTGCTCTTTGCACTGATATTAAAACTGTGACTCTGTGCAGTGACTATGACGCTTAAAGGAATCAAATGTAATCACATTCATGCTTCTCATTTAGTTCGTGCATCAGCGTCCTAACTCGATGAATAAAGCTTTCACAGCACAGCCAGTTTACAAATCGTCAATAAAGACGACCCACTCACTCGAGCACTCATCCAATCTAAATCATTTCATTAAACTCGTTCATCAGTGGGATGATTTTTGCTTCACAGCACCAGACGAGCAGTTTCAGCATCAAGTATAGCTTGATTCTTTTTTTTTTTGGTTTGCAAAATGTCTTCAATCCTAGATCTACAGAAGTTACTTCGTTATACTGTTATTATTATTTTTTTTAAGAGTTATTTTTTTGCCTTTATGTTAGAGACAGGACAGTGGAGAGAATCAGAAATCATTCTTGTACAACCAACCACCAAGCCACCGGTGTCTCCTTTACTCATGGATGGTAAATATGAATGTTTGAAGCCTGAGTGAGTGATCGCAAGTTAGACAGTGTGCACAAGGTTTTGCCAAAATTTTTAGTGACAAAAGAAAAGTATTTAAAAAGTGAATTTAAAACTAAAAGTACAAACAAAAAGTATTTACGAAATTTACACACAAAAAAGCTACCAACAGCCTTGTCAAAACAGCCAGAATAGTTGATTTTAACTGAAGTCCCACCTCTGATTAGGAAATAGCCAATCATAGATTTGGTATTGTGGAGTGGCACCTTGGGTGGCCAGTCAGATTTTAAGGGGGGGCCCATGCCACCCCTCTGGACACGCCCCTGCATCCATCACACTGGTGCAGAGGTCAAACTCGACAGCTTCATTAACTTATAGTGTTTACTAAAGTTTTTTAGCCCCACATACACCCAAGTGGCTATAGTGCATGTGCCCCATGTACAGAGGCTGAGGTGGTCTGGGTTTGAATCCGACCTTCGTCTGTCCCCTCACTCTCTCTCCCTAATTTCCGACTCAATCCAGACTGACACCAAATGACTTACTGCAGTTATTTCTAAAGTCCGAACCGCCTATTATGATTATGCATCATGTTGTTTTATCTCTGTTGAGTTGTTTTCTTTATCCTAGATTTACGTTCCTATTATTTCAGGAGGATCAGACTTTACCTGTCAGAGCATGTGGCACTGATCCTGGTGCAGGCTCTTGTGATATCATTTACTATTGCAACTCCTTACTGTCAGGTCTTCCTACATGCACTATCAAACCCCTGCAGATGATGACAGATGATGACAAACAGCACATGTCACTCAGCTGTTCATCTCCCTCCACTGGCTCCCAGTCACTGCTCCCATCAATTCTACAGACATGTGTAGTCTATTATATTCTTAAAATGCTAAATAAATAAAATGTGTATTATTATCATTTAACACAGGAATGCTGGATTAAAACATGGGGAGCTCAAAATAATCGGTTTACACTACGGCCTATTGTCCCGGGAACAGAAGCCGGACTCTGAAGTAAGATGGAGCTCCCCTAACCTTCAGCGAGGTGATCGGGCCCTCCTACCACCCGACGTCCCTGACGCCCAGCCTCCACCCTCGGACTGTGTCGTCCCCACAACCTCCGAAGTCCTCGTTCATGCACGATCTGCAGTCAGTGTTTTTTAACCTATAGATTAAATAATCTGTGTACACACATACCGGCCCAATAAAACAGATTCAAACATTTCTCGCATGTTTTTGCATTTGTCTTTGTTTTATTGCTTTAATTATGTTTGATTGTACAGAACTTTTGTTGTTTTTTTAAAATTTGCTTTATAAATAAATTCTGATCTGATTATTTGATAAAGTCCCTTTTCAATCTGCAGAAGATGTGTGTTACATCATGCATTGTAAAGGCAGCATAACGGCCCAGCTGATGGAGTTGTGTGCTTCAGGGTTTGCAGTGGTTGTGTGTGTGTGTGTGTGTGTGTGTGTGTGTGTGTGTGTGTGTGTGTGTAGGTGGAGAGTGGTAGGAGAAACGGAGCTGCTTGTTATAAAGTATTCATCGTTGTATAAAATCAGTGTAACCCACACAGAGCTGTGTCAGCTGACACGATGGTGAACTGCAGATACGACGGGCAAAGGCAAGCAGCAGCAGCAGCGGCCTTGTGGAGACAGTTGCCGTGGAGACCGGGCGAACGTCATCCTGTAAGCGGTTGCCATGGTCCTCCTGACGTCAAAGCCCCTCGAAAGATGCTCAGGAAACCCCCTGGCGCGGTCGCCTTGGATACTGGCGGGGGGAGGGGTGGGGTTTAGAGGAAGCGGAAGTGTCAGAGCAGGCGGAAGTGGTACTGCCCTGAATACCCTGAGCAGCGAGCGGAGGACGGCTTGACAAACTCCCATCGTTCAGAGAATAAAATCGGGATCCCTAGCACGCTCTAAATGTGAGTTCACCTACAAATCACTCGATTGTCGTGTTATATATAACAGGGTGCTGTTAGTCTGTGTCGGGGGAGCGGCGGCGGGCCCCCCCCCTCCCTCGTTCCCTGCCTTCTGCCGCGGAAGGTGCCTATTGTGGTTAGGGGCTGGGTGGCGAGGGTTTAGGCCGAGGCTTGTGGCCGAAACGGTGAAAAATAAACCCCGCGAAAACACCTGGCCCAGTGGTCACCTGTTTTCAGCGTACGTGTGTGCTCTTTGTACCGTCGACTGTGCTACATATCGGGGATTTTTGAAGGCCCAGACTCCGGTCGATGCCATGCGTGTTGCGCGGTGATCGTGTAGGGAGGAGGAGGAGGAGGAGGAGGAGGGGGGGCAGCAGCAGCCGAGTTTGGGCCATTTTGACAGCTTAGCTTTTAGGCCGAGAGCGGAGACACATTCAGGTCTAGATTAGTAACTTCTACCTGTGACACATTAGATACAATCAGGCGTGTGTCGAGCTGCTGCTGCTCTGGATTTAAATGTTGTATTTGGATGATTTATCGGCTTCTGAATGGCGTCGTCTCGCTCCGTCATGGCGGAGGCTAACGCACACCCTCTCCCCATTTCCCGGGAGTTCCCCCCCCCTCTCTCTCTCTGGAGTGATTCGCATTTTTAAACACATTTTCTCTCGGTTTTAAAAAAAATGACCTGTTATCAAACTGAACCGGTGTTGTGTTTATTAATTTTGACTGTGTCTCGTGACCACGGTCTCTGTTTCAACGCCGTTCACGTTCAACTGGGTCAGCTAGGCTAACGGTGGATGCTGCGTTCAAGTGCTGTCGGGATGCTTGGGAGTTCTCCATATCAGAACGTCGTTTTTTTTTTTCCCTCGACTTTCTCGAGAAATATTTCAGCGCCGCAATAAAAAAATTACATTTCATTGTTCTGAAACAACATTTATACATCTGCGTTGACAGCAAACTGAGTCGTGCGATCTTAAATGATATTACCCATGTTTCAATACGAAACGTGTTTTATTTTTATTTTTTTAATCCTCACTTAAATTAGCCTTTTATGTAATATAATCGTCCACTCGCTTGTGAGGTAGGGTACCAAAAAATCCATACCCCCCCCTGACTTCAGAGCGCAATCACGTCAATTTCCTTAGGGGAGGAGGAGGGGGAAGTCATATTTCCTGTTTTTCTAACGCCACATGAATGCAGCGTAAAGCCAGCGGCGGTTTCAGTTAGCATGCTAGGCTAACGGTTGAAGCAGCGGCCGCTAATCTATCTCTCCATCTTAAAATTCCGCAGGGGAATGCGACAAGGAGGGCGTAGCTGCTGGCAGGCCGACCCGCCAGCATGACCCGTTTATTATTGGCCGGAGGGAGTGTTTTTTGTTTTTTTTTAAGCAGTCGTGTCAAAAAAAATGGTTGCTGGAGCGATGTGTGTTTTTTTTAAAAGTCGTTTCGGTGCATCTTGTTCTGCTGTGTGCACCATTTTTCTTTTTTTTGTGTCGCTGCGCATTAGCATGTCCCTGATAGTCGGCTACAGGGCTGCTAATGTTGGGATGGCTGCAGCTGACTGTACAGGCCCGGTTGGATCAGGACTACAGGGGGGGCAACTGTAACACATTTCCACAATATACTTCACATCTCAGTTTAGTTTAAAAACACTCCAAATACACATCTTTTAATACAGGAAATACACATTTGTGTGCTAATAAATGAAGGCATTTCTATATTTGCAAGAATTAATATTCGCCTTTTTAAGTTAATAAAAGCAACCTTAATTTAATCACATTCATCCTGATTTACATGGAGACTCTGAAGTCCCAAAAAGTTTTGCACATGGAATAATCTTCTAATTTATAGATATTGTGCAGTGTGCACAAAGCGTGTGCAGAGTAAGTGTCCTCACTCCTCACACTTCCTCTTAACGAGTCGTGTTTTACAATTCGCCCCAGTCTTCGCTGTGATGGTGAAATGGGTTTTTTTTGGGGGGGGGCCCTTGTAACCGATTCCAGCGGAGTGTAACGATTGCTAAACGCTGACTGCAGGATGTTAAAATTCCTGACAAAAACAAAAACTCTGCGAGAACGGTCACATTTAGGTAAATAATCACCGTGTTTTTAACACGCTAAAACTGTTCATGTATTTTCCTATCACTGGATATATTTGGTACAATTTGTTAATATTAATTGCTGGAAGACGTATCAACCCAAGAGCTTCACATGATGAGAAGATGAGGAAAAAGACAAAGGCCTCAACTTCAAAATAAAGTGTTTTTAGAGCCTCTCTAATACTAATTTTTGATGGGAAATTCACAAATATGGTGACCATTAGTGCTTTGAAGAAATTATGTATTCTTGACTTGGACTGGGCACCAACTTTGCACCAATATGACTCAGCAAAATATTTTCAAAAAGCTGCTTACTTACACAAACAACTTGGTACAAAGAATATTTGAATTGTCAAACATTTTCATGAAACGTTAGTATGAATGGACCACCGCCTGCTCTCGTGTAACGCTCTGCTGCAGACGGTGCCGAGAGTCTGTAACTTCATCAGAGTGGATTAAAGTAGATACATGTGATGACCGAATTTCAATATCAGCCTTTTTTGCGACAAATGTTTTCACATGGGTGCAAAAAGGAAAATACAAACCCCAATAAAGAAATAATTTAAAGGTCCACTACTGCCAATTATGTTGCCCTGACAACGACCGGAATCTTAAAGCTGATGCCTAAAACAAAACAAAATCTCATCATTTTGTCAGGAATTCGGGTGTTCATTAAACAGTGCGTCCAGTTTGTTCTGAACATTATGTAACCGTAGAAACGCAACCCTACGTTACTTATTGTTGCAGTTTGCTTGGTGCGAATCATATAATGTATGATGTCGCTTACATGTCCCTCACATACCCCAGATAAAGAACAGGCCATCAGGGTGCTCGTTCTTTAACAAAAAATCGTTTTTAGCCCAGATTATAATTTAGTATGTCATCACTTTGGGTAGATGAATGTGTGCAATTTAAGTATTTATGAAAGCAGTCTGTATTTATTTCCTATCATTGATTTATTAGTGATATTATAAAACCTAAGATGTGATTAAAAGTGGATCTTCGTTCTCCCAGAACAAGGATTAATCTAACCTCATAGTGATGCTGATATCGTGGATGTGGCCAATTTAAAAACTTTACATCCCTTACATCAAGTCTTTAATAAGTGGGCAGGGATAATGGACGAAATGGATGTCTGGATTTTTAATGACCACACACACACTAATGGTATGACAATGTTGTTTTTAGGTAAACGAGCAGAACTGCACTTCATATCCGCAGATAATTGATTTCATGATCCAGTCGGTCGTTGAATCAGCACTGGAAATGTGCCATTGTTCAGAGGCTAATGATCACGCTGCAGACCACAGGAAGTGGATAAGAGCTACAGCTGGGTCAAACTGAATCACTCATTTTTCTTTTCGTTGTCTTTTCATCATGTGAGGCGTACGCTGACACGCGCAGCCTATTATACATGAGAATCATAGTTGGAATAGAAAGTATTTGACACGTGGCTTAATACAAATGTTTGCAGCAGAGATGCAATTGGGAAAATCAGGGTCGATGTTTCAAATAACTATTTAGCCAATACCGATGTATGTTTGGTGATTTGTTTTGAGTGTCAGACTCCTTACCGATGTTGGATTTTTGGGTCCGATATTGATATTAGGGAGAGCAAAAATCCGATACTGATATGTCAGGCGATATCATTCTTAGATATAGATATACACATGTGTTGTGTTGATTCCTCAGTTATCAAACACGAGTGATAAATATAAATAACGAAGACAAGATGTTTACTCAGCTGAAAAGTAACTGAGCATGTACGTGCATCACCGTTTGACACTCTCCCGAGTGATGATGCTTGTTTCAATCCATATAGCGCCCTCTGCTGGTGACAGAGAACTGCTAGTGTAATACAATGAAACTCAAATTAAATGCTATTTGACTTGTGAATAAGTCAGCGCATATCTGCTATCAAATTTGCTGATACTGATAGTCACTGGATAAGCTAATATCGGCTGATATTATCAGCTGACTGGTTAATCGGTCGAGCTCTAAAAAAACACACACAAAAAACAGTTCAATGGATGAATTCCTCTGCCCGATCAAAAAACTTGTCTCTGAATCAGTAGTTGGTAAAATAGATGTCAGCATTCGATTGGTTTGGCACAAAATCCCCATGAAAAGTGGAAAACGCTCATCAAGGTAGGATAGCTGCAGTTGTTCTACTCTCCACCGCACAGGACTTGCAGCTTATGGTTGACCTTGGAAAGCAACTCAAGTTTCCGGCACACATCGCAGCAACATCACTGTGACCAGATAATCATCATTTTTGTCAGAGGCCTCAAGACGGCTTGTCCTGATAGACTTCACGTTGCCCTGAGAAGACCATGTTGAGGAGGCTTATGAAGGGAAGCTGGCCAAATACCAGGGACTTCTGGAGGATAGTGGAGAACACACTGCTGTCAGTCGAAGAAGGCTGCAGAGGATTTGACGGGTCGCTCTCTTTACAGAGTCTGCACCCTGCTGGGCATGAGAGGGTTGCTTAGGACAACAGCCATTAGGACTGAGGCAGCAGAGAAAGCCTCCAGGTGGCTGTGGATGAAAAGGGGGGGGGGAGATTTGTGGCCTAGTGCTGCTGGGACGCAAGTTTAGACTTGATCAACCCCTGCTGGGTCGCCTGGGCCGGGTTGTATGATTCAGTGAGAACCAAAATCAACCAATGAACTCTGGGAACGTCCCTGATAATGCATGATTAAAAGATTCATGAAATTGTTCACCAGTATTACACATCATAAGTCACTGTCGTTAACATCAGTAACATCGCTCTGTACCCGAGTACTCAAGTGTGTTCATAGTCCGATACAGCAGGGGGCAGTATGCACATAAGTTTGTTTGCAAAGCCACCAAAAAACAGGAAGACGAGGCAACCATGGCAACCACTCGCAGATTGAGTTATTTTTGAAACGCTAACAACGACCCTCTACCGTGCAGCGCAGAGGATGAAACTGGTCCGTTCTGTGTGGACATGACGGTTTTTGAAGCAACAGGAGCCATTTAGATTGATGTCATATAGCGGTCCACTTCCTTGTTTGGGCACGGTGCCGTTCACATCTCCCGCAGACCGTACTCGAGTACACATGAATCCTGCCTATGACCACCTCTTTAAGCAGACTTTGGGGTCAAGTGTGCCAGGATCCAGGCCCGGGTCCCCCGTATGAAACCACCCTAAATGTTGTGTTTCTGATGAAGTAATATTACTTGCTGTAGAGCGCTAGTCAGGAGATCACACAGACGGCTTACAGCAGCTTTGATGAGGAAGGTGTTGGACGACAAGATGTAGCAACTGTTGACGCTTGCTGTGCTTGGAGCAACTTCCCGCATCTAAAAAAATATATATAAACGCTGTGAAGAATCATTAACTCCGGGTATATGAAGTGGACAGTTATGACCATTGATGTACGAGCACTGCACATCAGCATGAAGCCTGGAAGTGGAACGCCATGCTGTGTGTAAGAGTGGAGACGTGAAGACATGGAAGAAATAAAATGAAATTCAAAGAGCAAAATCAGCTTTTTTTAGAGAACAGATTGTTTTCTCCCTCAGCAAGAAGGAGTTGAACAAAATGCCAAATCCACACAGGAATGGCTTAAAACAAACAACAAAGTCCCGGAGTGGTTTATTATAACTCAGGCCAATCACAAGTTTTGTGGCAGGATATGAATTGTGCTGTTTACCCACAGTCCCCATGAAACATTACAGAGACTGAGCAGTTTTATAAGGAAGTAAAAACATCGAATAGACTTATGGGGATTGTATGAGATTTTTAAGTATGGATTTAATAAATAGTGTTTGAAGCACTTGCCCAAAAAGGCAATCAAAACCTCTCATTAAGTGCTGCAGCACCTGATAACTGGGTACTGCAGTCCAGATTCTAAACATTATAGAGAGCTGTCTCCCTTCACCCCCTCCTCTCTAGAGTCGATGCTTACGCAGGTTGCCATGTGGTGGACACTGAAGCTTCAGTGTTTAGCCAGCTCTGCATCGGTCTGTAAACCTTTCTGCGTTCTAACTTCTTTACATTTTTCAAAAGCATCTCCAATATTGATCCTAGTTTGAGCACGTTTCTGCTCGTGGAGCTTATTAGAAACATGCAGAGACTTTTTAGGTCGGGTACAATCACTTCTATCTGAACCAGTTCTCTTGCCCGCTCCCATCGCTGCAACACCTGTTGGTTTGACCTGATAACTGCTCTGATATCTGGCGAACTGAGGGGAGTCCAAAACGGCCATGTGGGGGTGTCTTAAAACCGCCTACCTTCTCTGGTCCAAACAAATCCAGAGCATTCAGGACCAGAATCTGAAGTTAGAAGGAGGACATACTGGCTGCTGCATTGTTGTCAGAGAAGCCAGCACTTCAACATAGCTTCATCATGTTTCCTTAATGTGTGATAATATAGTAAGCTCACTTTATCATTTCTCACTGATTGGACCTTCAAGGATCTTCCTCCTCAGTCCCAGCGTGAACACTGAACCCATTAGTGTTTGAGTGCCCTTTGTATCTCAACGGGGAAGATATCGTTGTCGTTAACGTGCAGATGTGAGAGTAAAGCTGGAGTGTGTTAACATATCTTCTCGTGTTATTGTCTGTCTTGTGTTTAGCTGTTTAAAATCCAGAAATAAGAAAATTTCAAATCTTTCGTATTAATGAGATCTGCAGCTGCAGTTGCTTCCAGTCCACTGTGCAGCTCTTAAAGCGTGTTGCGTCGATGTAGTGGGGAGATGGAGGCGAGGCTGTGGCCTACTTAGACCTACAGATTCATCTGGAGAGCAGGAAGCCCTCTGGGATGAAGCCACTTTGCTGGAATTAAAAGGATTTGTATCAAGTGTTGTGTGCGGCTTTCACTCTGAGCTTTGCTGGTATATTTTATATTTTTCATGTTATTCAATCAGTGGCTACTTTCATTAGCATGACGGCGCTTTAGTTTAACTCATGCTGGGGTTAAATTAATGGGACCGTTAGGCCCTGCTTAGACCGTGCTGTGGACTATTTCTCCTGAGGCGTTCATGCTGTTACAGTCCTTTGCATTAATGAAAGGGTTTCACTTTTACTGGTCACTTGGAGGCCATGACAGAACGACAAGATTCAGTTTTGCTTTAAAGAAGCAGAGTTAGGCCCCGTGTCCACCTAGCATTTTGTCTTTCTCGCCAGCCTCCTTTTTCAATTGTTTTCAATGAGAAGAGCATACGGTTGCCTGGAGAAAAAATACAGCGCCCAGCGCCTTTTTCAAGCACTCCGCCCTTTTTTGTGTGGCCGCTCTGAGCGCTGAAGTTGAAAATCCTTCAACTTTTCAGAAATGCGCTGTTCATTTCTGCGGCTCTCTTTTCCAAATGTTTGATATTTCCCGTAGTTTTGTCTCCTACTCATCATGTGTTGTACCCACATCCTCCTCGCTGCGTGTCTGATCGGGAAATAAACGATCTCAAATATAAAACATGCAGTAAAAAGTAACACAGCAGTGTCGGTCATACAGCAGCCGTCTTCAACAAACTGTTGTCATAGAGACGGGACAAATGTGCAGCGTACAAACATTTCATGCAAGCTCTTCCGAGCACAGCCATAAAACACGTCCAGTCTGACACGGGCCCTTAAATGTAAGGTGGCAGTTTTAGCTTCCCCCCATGTGAAAACAACATTTGCTGCAAAAAAGAATCTGATTTTGAAATTCGGTCATCACATTTATCTACTTTAATCCACTCTGATATATTTACAGACTCTCAGCACCGTCTGCAGCAGAGCATCACATGTGAGCAGGCGCTGGTCCATCCATACTAGTGTTTGTTGAAAATGTTTACCGTAAAATCCGGTGTATAAGAAGCACTTGTAATACCTATTTTTTCGTCTTAAAAGTTGGCTGCGTCTTATATGCTGGTGCAACCAATATACCAGTATAAAATACAGAAACATGTGTCGTCATTACAGTAAGACAGATTAAACTTTTATTTGTCTTTAAGAGACCTTAAAACAGGATGCGTCTTATATACCGGATTTTATGGTAATAGTTAAAAGATTTATTTTTGGGCTTTTTGTGTCTTTATTGTAGAGATAGGATCGTGGATAGAGTCGGAAATCAGGGAAGAAGTCATTTAGGGATACCTTTCCGATAGAAAAGGACAGCTGTCATTAAAAGTAACACATGAACACCAAGATTCCTTCTTGGAATCTTGTGTCGACGTGTCCCCACCCCCCAACGCTGTAAACCTAGGGGAAACACTGGTGAAGTTGTTTGTGTAAGTAAACAGCTTTTAACCACCTGTACTCGTCACACTACCGAGTCTGAACTCCAAGATATCTGCAGCGACATGCAGAGAGCGACAGTGAGGGGAGGGAGGGAGGAGGTGTTTGAAGAAGAGGGAGAGAGTGCACAAGCAGGGCGGCAGGAGGACGACGGGTATAAAGAGGGAGAAGTGGAGGAAAAGAGAGCCAATGTAACGTCATATTGGTGCACAATCCAAGTCAAAAGAATGTCATCATATTAGTGGATTTCACCTCTAAAATCAAGTGTTGGTCCCAGAACTTCATATCGGTCTTCTTCTATGATTTAAATAAAAGGTTCTTGTTTCACTCCAGCTCAAACATTTAGTTTTCCTGCAGCCACATCGGTCGAAAAATGTATTTTCTCGACGAAACACTCAAATTCTCGGGGCTCTGCAGGAGACCTTGGGGTGTTTAAAATGTTGGGCTTTCAGATTTTAAAAATTGACGCTCCACACTTGTCATATCACCCTCTATGGTGTTTGTATTTTCCTGTTAAATGTCTCTCTGCACCATGACGCACTTCAATCAGGGGCCATGCGTCTACCTGCAGGTCTTTCCTGTCCTCGTTCCCGCCTCTCTTGTGTCTTTGCCTGTCCCCCCCCCCCCGGGTGGTAAACGGCGAGCCTCAGTGTTCAGGTACAAACACTTACTCTGTTTTTCTGTCCCTTGTTCTTCTCTCTGCAGCCTAAAAATGGATAAGAACGATCTGGTGCAGAAAGCCAAGCTGGCAGAGCAGGCCGAACGCTACGACGACATGGCCGGCGCCATGAAGTCTGTGACGGAGCAGGGGGGCGAGCTGAGCAACGAGGAGCGCAACCTGCTGTCTGTCGCCTACAAGAACGTGGTACGTCCTCCGTATCGATGTGGAAATGTTTGATTGTTGTTCCACCTACAGATTCTCTGAGTGAATCTCTGCAGCCAGCTCGTTAGTTACATTTGATCCACAGACGCCGCTTTTTGTGCTGGCTGCGCCCGTTTTCAATACAAAACCAATGCAGCGTTTTCAGCGCCCTGAGCGCTCAGCTGTTTTTTGTTGCTGCGCTCTCAGTGGAAAACAGTTCAACTTTTAGATCAGCTCCACGCTCGTCACTTCTCCCTCACCGACCAATCAAAGTCAAGATTGGGCGGGACTTACAACATCAGGTGGAGGAGACGCTAGTCTGCCTCGTCTTTTGGAGGGGAAAGCTTCAGATGTCGAGCTGCTGCTGACGTCAGGACACGACTCCTTCACGTCGTCTTCATGTTTTCTTCACACTTAAAACACTCCTAACCAGGAGCGCGGTGGCCTGTGGTTAGTGCACAGCCCATGTACGGAGGCCTCAGTCCTCAAAGCCTGCATGTCATTCCCAATTCTATCTACTGTCCAGCTCTACAATAAAGGCAGAAAAGCCCCAAAATAAATCTTAACAAAAAGGAAAAAAAACACACCAAACCAATGTTACAGAGGAACGCTGGAGTTAGCGTTCATAACCTAGCAACAATGAGCGCAAGAAGCCCTTATGCCATTTAACTGTTGTTCACCTGCAACAACTTAAAACTTAAGACGTAGATTCTGAGAAAGTGAAAATAATATTAAACTTAATCACTGAGGAGGCAGAAGTTCAGCATCATTTCTCGGTTAAATGTTAAAAGTCAGAGAAGAATTGTCTTTGAGTTGTTTTGACTGGATGAATAAATGAAGCGAGCAGCTGAGGACATTGAGGAAAGTGTTCAGGGGAATAAAGAACGACTGGAATTCAACAGAAGTTTGTTAATCAGTCGGTCAGAGCCGTCGCGGCTCGTTGTCAAAACTAAACGTCTCTAAAGGAAGGGATGACCCTCGACTGCTCCCCGGACAATTCTGTGGCTCCCCCCTCCCGTTACGTAGCAGAATGTCCCAAAATATTTTTTTTATTTTTCATGAATATTTTGAAGTATAAAAGTGTAAATGATGTAAGAGTAGCCTGAGGTTATCCAGCGCTGATGTTCTGTCGTACACGCTGCGACCCGAGCAGCTGGCCCGCTCGACTCTGCACGTTTATTTTTGGATGAAAATGATTTGATGATAATGTTGTCCCTCTGCTATGTGAATCCAGTCATGAATAGAAGACAGCGTCAGTGTTTTTTGGTTGACCTTGTTGTTGTGTCCATCAGGTGGGGGCTCGCCGTTCATCCTGGCGCGTCATCTCCAGCATCGAGCAGAAGACGGAGGGTAACGAGAAGAAACAGCAGATGGCCCGCGACTACCGCGTGAAGATCGAGTCTGAACTCCAAGAAATCTGCAACGACGTGCTGGTACGGAGAGGGACGGGAGGAGGTGTTAAGAGAAGAGTGAACAAGCAGGGTGGGAGGAGGAGGACAGAAGGAATAAAGAGATTCAAAGTTTGATCCAAAGGCAACTGGACTGGTTAAAGATTTTAAACCAGATTTTTTACTTTGGATCAAGCTTTGAATTTACCATGACCTGGATGACTGAGAACTTGCACAGACATAGAGGGTGAGAGAGAGAGAGAGAGAGAGAGGAGGAGTTATTCACTCACACGGTGTTTCTGTTTAGAGTCGTCAAACGAAGCGTTAATCTTCTCAGTTTATTCTGCCCGATCCAGTATCTCTGCTTTGTGTTTGGTGTTTACCTGCTGCAGAGATCAGAGGACGCTCGACTGGAAAGATGAAGTGTGTGTAGTATGTAAAAACACATGGGCTCTGAAAACATGTTCCAGTCTGATGCTCCTACATTGCGTTCTTCAGAATTATGTCCCGCCACCTCCGGCCCGAGCAAGCGTTCAGTCCGTGACAATAACTGCATTAGGTGTGTTTGCGTGGGTGGGTTGCTGCAGGTGCAACGATGACGGTTGAAATATGATCCTGGAAATCCAGTTCAGTTCCACATCACCAGGTTTTAGGTTCAGCTCCACAATAACAGGATCTCAATTAAAGATCTTGATTAAAACCTGTAGGTAACAATGATGAATAACCGTCCGTCACAAAGCCTTCTTTCTGTCATGACTCAGAGACACATTTTCAGGATTGACTGGATTTATGATTTATTTATGTGAAACATGTTGCACATTCTTAGTGTAAGTCATCCAGTCGCTCTTTATTATTATGAACGTCATGCCGCCCCTGAAGCCCAGATGAAAACTGATTTTGCTGCATTTTTCAAAAAACGGGATTCTGTAGAGAATTTGATCCCTGAAAGAAACCGGCTTGATTTGAGGTTAGGATTCCTTTATTGCTTGTCATTCACCATTTACTAAACAAGCCACAACTTTTCTGAGTTCTATCTCAGTCGGACACATCTGAGGTTTAAAGATGCTCCAGTGAAAGTGTGAACGTCTCTCTGCAGCCTCCAGCTGTCCTGAGGCTGTAGGCACACCCTCAACGTTTCCAGGTCCTGACTCTGTGAGAGCAACAAAAAAAAAAAACTCAAGGTCAAAAGCAGACTCCCATTTTTGAGCGCCTGAGCAGACTGCTAATAATATCTTCAAGGTCAGACTGTGGTGCTGAAGGAATGAAGGGGAGGAGAGGACGGGTGGAGGTGCGCTCTCCTTTAAAGAAAGTGTTCGTGCGGAAACCGGCACCGTGAAGACGAGGCTCACTGATGAGTCTGATGAAGCACTTTCTCTCTCCCAGCATCAATCAGACATTTTTCCAGTGAGAGAGAGAGAAAGAGAGTTTTAGAAGTTCAGTGATCTTGTACGTCATCTCCTTCCTCCTGTCTGACTGTAAGGGATTACGTTCAGCAGTGCATGCGTAATAAAAGCTTTTGTATGACGTGTAAATCCAGATTTTTCTATACCCGTTTAAAGGGATACTTCACCGGTCGAAACATGAATCTGTATTGACATTGGGTCATATATGTAGTAGAAATGTGAAATCAATTTTGAAGTTGGAGCCTTCTTGGCCGAGAAAAGGCAGAAAGTGTCTTTTTGGCTTATGTGGATGAAAGACACCAAATCCCAGAATGCACATCACCGCAGGCCACTCCCACGAAGGTCTGCTACAGACATATTTGGCCAAAACGCAAGTCCGGCCTGTCGGCTGCAGCCATCTCGCAGCTATTATCGAGCTTTCTCCATAGAGCCTGTTAGCATAGCTTCCAAGCAATATGGCGGACGTTAAGTTTCGATTCTGGGAGTGAGTTCCCACCCACTGATCTGTGATTGGTCTGTAGCTTCAGTAGTCGAAAATATGAAGAACTAGCGTTTTGTAGTTTCACCCCACTAACCGCAACAGCTTCCAATGACGCAAAATGCCGATTTTAGCGTCACTGGAAGCTCCAGACTTAAAAATACAAAGATTTCCCATCTCGGGAAAATGAGGGCGGGATGCACGACCATTCAAAAATACTACCAGGTTTCTAATGATACAAAGCTTAATGCAAATGGGTGAAGTATCCCTTTTAACAGTTCTTCATTAACCCCTTCTTCTCACTTCTTCGTCTTTTGCAGAGCCTGCTCGATAAATTCCTCATTGCCAACGCATCTCAGGCGGAGAGCAAGGTGTTCTACCTCAAAATGAAAGGAGACTACTTCAGATACCTGTCAGAGGTCGCCTCTGGGGACAGAAAGAAGGGTGAGTGTAACTTCAGATCCTCAGTCCATGTTCGAGCGTCCCTGCAGGACTCTGGACCTCTGTGGGATTTATAGTGTCGTTAATGCATGACTGCGAGGCAGACTGGTGTTTGTCGAAGCGGGGCTTGAACCCAGTTAACGACTCCTGACTCCGTGTGTCAGTAGCTCATCAGAGCGGCGACATTGTTCAGTTTGTGTTTGCTTTTGAGCTCAACACTCCTTTCATTCAACGGAACGTGTTGGACATTTATGACCTGACGACGTTACAAGAAAACTTTACTGCTATGATGTCAGAGCTGCTCCTCTGAAACTCGCATAAAAACCTCTCAAGCTCCAATGTCCAACAGCGCCCCTGTGACGTCTCGCCTATAAGTGCCATGGAGGCGGAACCCGGGGCGGAGTGATCCCAAATCTGCACCACCTTCAGAGGTTTTGCAGGGGTGAAAAGGGATCAGCTGAGTCAGTGCTGACACGTCTCCGCTGTGATTTAACACGATGCAACAAGGCAGTATGGAGTAATTGTTCATATTTATTTTGTGCTCAATAGAATAATCTCAGCATGACTCGGGCTGTACATTTCTGAATTTACAGTTGTACTCCCCAAACTGTTGGCCTGAGTCACCTGAGCCGTCCCTGCTCAGAAACACTTTAAAGGGTACATATTATAAAAACTTCTTCAGTGTTTTTGAACATATATTTGGGTAACCTGAGTGTCTACTGACCCACAAAATGTGAAATAAACCCATTCAGTCCTTTTTGTTTGTGGTCTGCATAAGTCTTATAACACAGAGAAAAATGCTCCGTTTCTAATGTGCTCTCCTTGTGATGTCACAGTGGGATTCTGGTTAAAAAAAAGAAAATCCCCTCCCCTCCCCTGGTATCTCCACACATGGACTTCACCCCCAGCCTAGAACAAAACTTTTCACAGGTCTGCCATTTTTATTCTCGCTAGTGAAGGGGTGATGTCTACCAGGAAAACTAGGGGAGCGCATTGCATTTAAAGAGACACACACACCAAACCGGAGCGTGTCACACTGCTGGTTTCCCACCTGCTCGACTCTGACAGGTGACCGGCTAGTCCCACAAGTAGAGCTGTTTTTGTGCCGATCTCACACTCGCACGTACAAAAGCTGTTTCATGCCGCAGAGCGACACACACACACACACACACACACACACACACACACACACACACACGCATTCTAGCACAACAAGCTAACAAGTCAGCGGTGCCAACATTCAGGAGGAGAAACACAGAACGTTTCTCTGCACACGCTCCCTCCTCTGCACGTGGCGCCTCTGAGTATCAGGGCTGACCGCATGTGTGCACGCTCCAGCTGTCTCTCTCTTTAACTCTCTCACTCTCTCGCTCTCTCCCTCTATCTCTGCCTCTCTCTCTCTTGCTCGCTCTCACTCTCTCTCCCTCTCACTCTCTCGATCTCACTCTCTCGATCTCACTCTCTCGCTCTCTCTCTCTCTCTCCCTCTCTCTAACTCTCTTGCTCTCTCTCTCTCTCACGCTCTCACTCTCTTGCTCTCGCTCTCTCTCTTGCTCTCTCTCTCCCTCTCTCTCTCTTGGTCTCACTCTCTTTCTGTTTGAGCGCGTTATTAAAAAGTTTGACTTGATGTCAGACGTTTTCTCTTTGCAGGAAAAGTTAAATATGAATAATTAGAAACCGTTCACCGAGGCAGACGAGTCAGAGTCTGTGAGGAATCATTTCTTCACGAGGCAGAGAGAGAAGAGGGGGGGAAGCAGGAAACGTCACTGTTTCTGAACACCCGACCTCCAGATGAGAGACGACCACTGACCACAGCCGCCCCGATCTAGAACTCCTGCCTCTTTTAAACACCTCCTGACTCTTCCTATATATGAGCGCTTTCTGCAGGTCACAGTGAAGCGCCTCCTCTCTTGGAGAATGTCTTTGTTCAAAGTCTGTCGGTGTAAAATGTTCGTTCTGGGTCTCTCGGGTCAGAAACGTATCAAAGTGACGTCTCGTTGTTGTGTTTTTGTTGCAGACACGGTGGAGAACTCTCAGCAGGCCTACCAGCAAGCCTTCGAAATCAGCAAGAAGGACATGCAGCCCACACACCCCATCCGGCTGGGCCTGGCTCTTAACTTCTCCGTCTTCTACTACGAAATCCTCAACTCACCCGAGCAGGCCTGCTCTCTGGCCAAGCAGGTGAGTGTCTCTGTGCGGCTGGTTCAGCAGCATGCTGTTCCTCAACGGTCAAAGATTCTTATGTGAACGCAGACAAACCCTGATGAATCTCAGTCACAAATATTTAATCAGAAAACATCTGAAAGAGCTCATCCGTGTAAGAAGACGTTTCCATGACGAGAACATTCTGTTAATGTCTCTCTCTCTCTCTCTCTCTCTCTCTCTCCTGCAGGCTTTCGACGAGGCGATCGCCGAGCTCGACACCTTGAACGAGGACTCGTACAAAGACAGCACGCTGATTATGCAGCTACTAAGGGACAACCTGACTGTGAGTATCAAACGCTAACGCCATCACTCATCCACAAAAGTTTTTAAAAGTTTTCAAATTCGAGGAGTCGAGCGGACGATTTCAACACTTCCTGCACCGACACGTGTACCGTTAAAATAAACGCTGAAATGTCCACACACCGCCATGCACGGCGCTGTTTGCTGCCACTTTAGTCGATGCTCCTATTTCCACAGCAAGCGCCGCAGTCCGTCTCTAGAGCGTGCCAACAGCAAGCATGCGTCAAGCTGGACAGAATAGAACGACCCAGACAGGAAGTCAGAGAAAGAAAAGTACAGTGTCCAGTGATTTTCAAAATAAAACACAAGAACAGACTCCTGATCGTTTATTCCACCACTTTATCAACATGGCGTCAAAACAGGAGCAATCGACATGTGGTCTGCACGGTGGTTAGCTCTTTATTCCTGCGTGATCTTGTAGCTCTCGTGTGATCTTGTGAGCCCGTGTGTACGGCTGCTCATGGACCAGAAACTGAAATGTGTAAATGGCGGGTCAGGAGGCGTAAATATGAAAGGCTTGATCCTTTCATTTTTAAGGGAAACTTGTCCCACATACTCATCGACCGTGCCTGAACTTCAAGGCTAACTCGTCCATCCTGCGGTGAGAAAGTGGGACACTGACGAGGAAACTAGAGAGAGAGAGGGGGGAGGGTGAAGAGGAAGTGACTTCTTTAAAACAAAGGGGAACTGGAACAGAACCGTGTTTTGTTGGATTTTATCCTTCAGGTCTGAACACTAAAACACAGATCAGTAAACACTGCGTTAGCTTCACACATATCCATGTTAAGACGCCGGTTTCCCAACACTCTTCCAGCGGTTTCCTGTTGCTGCAAATGAGGTGAAGACGCCATATCTGCGATGCCATGTTGGCAGCGGTCCCATGTTTCTCAGATTGTGAACTGCTGCAGTTTGAGAACCAGGACCAGGTCCATGTGGTCACACTCGGGGAGATGAAGCGTGCACGGCGCTCGCTCGTCCTCGCTCGTCCTCGCTAACATAAAAAATCAGATGAATGAAGTGGTGACAATGACTGATGACGTGTTTCTCTTCTCTCCGCAGCTGTGGACATCAGAAAACCAGGGAGACGAGGGCGAGACCGGCGACGGGGAGAACTAGAGCGCACTTCACTGTTAACCCATCCCCACTCTCTTCCTCCTCCTCCTCCTCCTCCTCCTCCTCTGAGCTCTCGTCCTCTTTCTTCTCTTCTTCCTCTCTTCATACACATTTAAAAAAAAAAAAAAAACAGCCCGTTCATTCCCTCGTCCCACTTTTTCAAAAACCCGGCCTCCCGACTTCCCTTCTGTATAACCAACAGCATGAATAGACCCCGCCCCCCTCCACCACCAACAACAGATATATACGTTAAATTTAAAAGAAAAAACGAGAAAGTACTACTCCATGACCCCTCCTCCTCCTCCTCCTCCTCCTCCTCCTCCTCCTCTTCCTCCTCATCCTCTTCATCATCACTCCACGGCCGGCCGCGCCGACTCAAACCAGCGGCCGGTCTCGTCTTCTAGCACGCAGGGAGGGGTTTAAATCCCCAACCACGGAATAATAAACGTCTTTTAGAGCCCTCTTTTACCCCCCCCCCATTTAATCTTCCTCCTCCTTTCCTTCCTAACACCTCAGTATGTCCCCCCTTCCTCCCCTCCCCTCTTTAGCGAGTTAATGCATTGATATAGATGTACCCCCCTCCCCCCTCCCCCCCCTCCTCCTCCTCTTTTGGCTTCTCTTAGTGTACCGGCACACCCGGCTGGTTTTATTCCACTTTAAACAAAGACAACAAAAAGGTTATTAAACTGTCCGTTTATTTTCAACAAACACTGTGATGCTTAGTTTGTCCTCCACATCGACACCCATCTTCTTCTTCCAGCTGGGAGGGGGAGGGGGAGGGGGGGGTGTTTGAGCAGCAGGGGGTCATTCTGCTGACGGGTTATACAGAAGGGGGGCTCGCACAGGGCTGTATTGTGACACTGACTCATTAAAAAGACAAACACAAACTCTCCTGGAGTTTCATTTACCGGCTTTTTTTTTTTTTTTTTTTTTTTTTTCATTTCTTCAACATGAATCTGGAGAAACCATTTTTAAAAAACATTCCATCTCATGTGTGGGAAGATTTTACACGCTCACGACTAACGGGACCCGCCTGCTTCCTCGGATCCACCACACCCGGCCCACTCCCCCCCCCCCCCCCCACCGACGCGTACGTTCAACCTCCCTCTCTTCGATCGCTTTCTCTTTTTTCTTTGTGTGTGTGTAACCGATTAAACTTCTCTACCCCCCCCCCCCCTCCCTCCTCCTGGTTTTTGAAAAATGTAAAATTGTAAAACATTTTTAGAGCTTAACTGTAAATCTGTCTTTTGGAGAAAAAAAAAACACAAAACGTGAACGGTTTGTCGATGTTGTCCGTTAACAGCCGCTTGCAAAGGAAACCTTGAAGCCGTTACAGTCAGCTGCTGGTTCTACGTGTGCCGTTTGTTTTGGTACTTTAACCCCGCCCCCTCTCTCTCTCCTCTCTCGCCCTTCTCCTGCTTCCTGTACTGACACATTTGGAGCCGACAGAAATGCACGTCATCTTTTATGCTCATGTTAAGAAGAAAGCATCCAGTCGGGCCTTCTCTGCCCAGCCACGCTTAAACTTCCTGCTTCCTCGTCGAACGCCGCAGAGCCCGGCTGTCGGAGACGATACCGATCTCGGAGATCGCATTCGGCCTCTTCCTCCGCCCCGCCCTCACTGCCTTGTTTACACCACGTGCCGCCGAATTGTGCAACAGCCACAAAACAGCGAGGAGATGTAAACGCCGGATAGACGGTTAAATTGACAGCTTTCTCCTTGCTGAGCTCCATCAGATAACTAAGTGACGCCTCCTCGGCTCGGGTTGTTTCATCTCGTCACTCAAGCGTCACTTTCCACACGTCGTGTAAGCGTTTGTCCCAAAGGCGAGCTTTGAGTTCAGATGGTCACGTAGATGAAGACGTGAGAAATGTCTACCTGTCTTTGTGTGGAGTTTGAGGGGGCGTGTCTTCTTCCTTTAGCCGAGTCGCTCTGCGGTTCAAAACGGGGGAAGCAAGAAGTTTAAGCTGCGCCCTTTGAGTCATTTAAAAAAAAAAAAAGGCAACGTGCGTTCAAAGGAGCCAAATCTCCCGGCAGCCAATCATCTGTCTGGAAGATGGAACCCGGAGTTCACGGCTAAGAGTTCATGAACAGACGCACGCCACGAGTTGACCTTTCACATCAAAGACGTTCGATCGGGCGGTGAACATTTGAACGCCACCAATCCGGCTTCACGTTCGTAGTCCTTTAAGATTGACTGGCTTTGAGTCCCGTCAACCAATCAGACGAGTTTTCCTCCCCCACTTCCCTCCTCTCAGTGTCACAGTGACCTCGTCATGAACCATCTCGACATTCCACTCCGTTGGTGTCGAAACTAGAACGCCACGACGTCTCGATGTTTGATTTTTCTTTCCGCTGGGGACGAATGTTTTCACGCACTGAAGCTCGAAAAGGTTAAAAAGACGAGTTCCTCCCCGCCGCTCTCTCTCTCTCTCTCCCTTTTCTCGTTAGGCCGTTCCCTCCCCCCTCCCCCTCTTCTTCTTCTACGCTTTGTAAGGAATAAAACTGATCCCATGCAGTAGTGAATGTGGCACCGAGCCTGTCTGTATATCTGGTATCTCAAATCATTTTGTTTTTACTGACCAGTATTCTGCTTAAAAATAAAAAGACAAAAAAAAAAAAAAAACCCAAAAAAAAAAAAAACAACAAAGTTTGCTTCTGTGACGGTTTTATTGCTTAGCGCGCACGTGGTTGTGAAAACGTAGACTTAGCTTAAGGACGCCAATAAAAAAAACAGAAAATGACAACAAAAAAAAACACCCCCCTTTCGACACCTCCCCCCTTCCCCTCCCCTGCCCCTCCCTCCCTGGTTATTGACGTAATACTAGATTTGTGTATGTCTTTTAAAAAAAAACAAAAAAAAAAACCCGACTCTAGTTTCACCCTACATGTTATAAACAGGACAAAATGTAAAAGACGATTTAAAGTGAAATAAAGGTTTTATCAGTTCCGAACTCGCCCCGCTCTCTTTTCTTTACCCACCTCAGTCTCCTCATAGCGCATGCTCCACTCACAGCCCACTCTACTGGTTTGAGGTGCATGCTGGGAAAGATCGGAAGAGGGGAAAGCGTGCAAAAAAAAAAAAAAAAAAAAACGGGGGAGAGGGATGTTTGGGGACGACAGGTTTGTGTAGCGACCTCTGAAGCAGGAAATGAAAACACACAACTTGATGACAAAAAGGCTGCAGCGTTCCCGCCGTTATGATCTTCAAACACGGCGAGATGCAAGAGCGTGCGCAGAAGAAGTGAGGGACGCTGCAGCGCCGTGGAAGACCGCTGTTCTTCAGCCTTGTAGTCCGGGTTCTTAAAGTGTGCCGTCTCCTTCCTGATGGTAGGGGGACAAATGCAGAAGGTCCTGGGGGGGGTTGACCGATGGACCTCACCTCCCGCTGCAGGCGGTCAGCACAGACCAGCTCCCACAACCTGTGTGCTCATCGGTGGTTAGCGGGACGATGAACCCCACCCTCCCCCCGTGTGCAAACATGCAAAGAGTTCTTACATAGGAGACAGGCTTCAGTTTTCTGTGGTCAGTTTCATATCAGGGATTTACAGAGCTAGCTCCTTAGCGCCCTCTACAGATTCATCCTGGGATTACTCTGACACACATTTACCTCATGAAACTCTGCCCACTTTCAGTTTGGACATCCAGCAGGACTTTCACACTTGTAAAAAATTTCCTGATATTCTCAGACTGAGCATCATGTGTGAACACAAACAGCTGAATGTTTCTCTCTTCACCCGGAGTTTCTCCTCCAGCCTCCTCGTATTTATCCAGAAAGTCCTGTGATCAGAATTCTGACGTTTATCCCCTGTGATCGCTGCACGATCATAGACTGTCTGCACGCCACCTCTACCATCTCCGTGTTCTAATGAACCTGCTGCATTATGTTTCCTGTTCTCCAGGATGTTCTTCTCCACTCTTTAGTTCAGATTGAGATTCTGTTCAACTACACGTAGCATTGATAGAAAGGACACATATTCTCATTATAGCATTGTGTAGAGGACACTGCTCCGTCCAAAGATCCCACATCGCTCATTATATCACGTCTTACCTCAGGAGACCCCCCCCCGCTCCAGTCCGACCGGAAAAGTCTCCTGCTGTGAGGTGCATGTGTGAACAAACAGGAGAATATGAGGAGCAGTCCTCCTGAATCTAGATATTTCAGGAGTGCATGTGTGAAAATGGCTTGGGTGAGTTAAAAAAAGAGGATAGGAACAGCAGCATCAGTCCGGTTTAAATAATAACATGAAACTAGAGAAGAGTGAGAGCGCTCAATGTTTGTTTTCAGTTTATTTTCAGTTTCAAACAGAAGCAGGAAAACAAAAGACAGCAGACATGATCAAACAGAAGCAGCTTCTTGAACATGGAGTGTCGATGGGACTCGGACACAGAAACTGGAGATGCAGTTTTTATTATTTTCTGAGTGAAGTCTTCGGAGCAGAGCCGAGTTTAACGCTGCAGCTGGACGATGGAAACAGGCACTTCAGGCAGGCGGAGCTCCGCCTACTACAGCAGGTGATCAAACAAACACAAGGACTGCTGACTAAATGACGCTCATCTTGAAGGTGTAAATAAATTAAACTCGACAGTTTCCAGATTTTGTGAACACTCAATAACCTCTCGTGGTAGTTTCTCTTCCTTTAACATGCTCGTCACTCAGATCTACCTGAGGGAACACCTGGTGTGGAATTAATGTCTCCAAACTGAATAAACTTTTACAATCACCAAGAAGTCGACGGACAGAACCGACAGTTTAGAAATCATCGGCTGTCTGATTTTCAGGATATCATGACGGATGTGTTTTCACAAAAACAATCGATCAAATTATCTGAGGAGTCGATGAAAACCTGCCACAGCTCAAAACAAGTTGTTAAAGACCAAGACTGTAAGAGCCGGAGCCAATTCAGAAAGAAATACTTTGCATGGAAGCTCTTTTTGAATTCATAACCGTTACAAGCACGCACTGAACCATGAACGTTTCAATATTCTACCGCCAATCATTCGATCGTTTGATTTTAAAGATGGAGGCTTTAAAACAATCGTATGGATAATTTAAAAAATAACGATGTAATGGTAGAGCGAACAAAGACGCTGCAGGTTATCGGTGTGCATTAGCCTAGCTTGCGAGTTAGCGCTGTTGCTTCTGCAGACGGAGCTCGATAAAAAGCCATTAATAGTGGCGAGTGACGCATGCACCCCGCGGGACGAAGCACGATACAAAGACTGCAGCATTCTGCAATTTAAACTTTGAAAATCTGTGAGTCTAACGACTCGTGTCTTTACAGACAGATTAGAGGCTCAGAGGTTAACCAGGAATCCTTGTGTAATTTTGTTTTGCGTCCAGCCGGAGCGCCACGAGCCGCCGGGGATCCCTCTCCGACACGGTGATTGTAAACGCTTATTCTCCGTTTGAAATGTGGTCATTTCAGCGTTTATAAATACCAATAAATACAAAAACGGGTGAAACACAAACATTCTCTCCTTCCTCCGTTCTCGCCAATCGGGAGTTTTTTTTTTTTTTTCTTTCCAGAAGCTTCTGGGGAACGCCTCGTTTGTTCCCGAGGTCGAAGACAGATTATGATGGAGCATTTTGGAAACAGGCGGATAACTTGGACGCACGGCGGTGGAATCGTCTTCAAAAAAAACTTAAGTGACTCGTCTTCCTCCCCTCCCCCCCCCCTCCCGGTGAGCAGTGCGTCGTCACTTCTTCTTCTGCACTTCCTGCAGCAGCTTCAGGGCGGCGGTGTTCTTTGGTTCCACTTTCAGCAGCTTGTCGAGGTCGTCTACGCACGCTTTGGCGTCCTGCGGGGAGAACACACGAGGTCAAAAGGTCAAAACTGAAGTTAAAAATATAAACACATGAAGGAAAGGTCGCTGTGCAACATCCAACACTGCAGAGTAAAGATTCCTAAAGTCACTGCTGTGCTGACAAAAACACACAGTCCTCGCTGTGTGGCGCTCTGATAAAACGCCATCAGGTGAGAACGCCGCCACATCAAGACAGGAGCTGCTCTAATTTGTCACCAGCTCTAAAAAAAAATAACACTTTTGTAGCCGCCGTGCGGTGCATCAGGAGGTGATTCAGAGTGAGACGCTCACCTTGAGCTCCTTGTGAGCCTGCGCCCTCCTGTAGAGCGCCTTCAGGTTGCTGCTGTCGATCATCAGCGCCTCGTCGCAGTCTCTGACGGCGTCTCTGTACTGCTTCAGCGACAGGTAGCACAGAGCCCTGAGCACACGCACAAAGAAGATAATAACCATGAGCGACACAAACAGTCTGTATTTGGCAATCATCCTGTTAGCACCCATACAAAGTGAAAAACAAAACAAAAAAACAACACCAAAAACCGTCACCATGTGTACAACCTATCCCACCAGTTTTATTTGACATAATTTTCTAACTATACTGTCCCCATGTTTTTCTTTGTCCCGTTTGCTCATTTACTTATTTTGTCCCTCTCGCTAATTCATTCATTTTATTTACTGACCCTTTTCCTTTGTTTGTTTTTGTCTAAATCTGCTTGCAAAACTGTATCGTGCCACAGCTCCCCTCTTGTTTGTGTCTCTTCTTTTTTTTACTGTGAGTGTGTGTTTGCACGTTTTGGTGAATAAAAGTTAAAAAAAAAACATGAGAGCGCAGAAAACACGTCTGCTCCAACGGCGTTAATCTCAGGAGCTGGGGATCCAACCTCCGACCTGACGGTTCAGAGACGACAACCACTGACCCACAGCCGCCCCTCCTAACATTTCACACCTCTAAATCGTATCTATGGCGATCCTGTAGCAGAGGCCTTTAAAGGGTTAAACATGTGAGCGAGTAAACGTGTCCCTCACCTGTTGGTGTACGTGGTGATCTCAGCTGGATTCAGTTTCAGGCTCTGGCTGTACTTATCGATGGCCTTCTTGTGTTCGCCCTTCTTCACCAGGGCGTTCCCTTCCTCCTTCAGGACCTGGCCTCTCTTTAAGTCCTTCTCAGCGGGCGCTGGCGAGAAGAGGCAGCAGAAAGCTCAGACGGTACGTTTCTTTTAAATACTATCGTGACACAATAATAAAGGTCTCAAACCCTTAAAATCTTCTCACCAGGTTTCTTCGCTTGTGTGGTTTCCGTCTGTGGCGTCGTCGGGTCGGTTGTGCTGCATTGGCGGTCGTCTTCTGGCCGAGTTTCTCTCTCACTGACAGCGGGACGACGGGGATGGGAGGAAGCTTTTCTCTCCACGAGAGACCGTCTGCTTCTGTGAGCGCCTTCGTCATCCTGACATTCAGAGAAACAGAAATCATTGCTCTCTCTTTCTGTGCCTAAGAGAGAAGATGAGCGGTGAGCGTTAGGTACCTGTTTGTGCCGTCGTGAGCGGCCGCGATGTTGCAGTCGATCTGCAGAGCGGTCTTGTAGTCGACGTAGGCGTGCCGGTAGCGCTCCACAGCCTCGTAGGCCGCAGCACGACGAAGAAGAGACTTGACGTTGAACGGCGAAAACTCCAGAGACCTGCGAGAAAAACATGACAGAGGTCAAGAACCAACGCTGATAATCATCAGCTGATGTGCATATAGGATAGAACGACCCAGACAGGAAGTCAGACAAGGAAACGCACAGAGCATCTGGTGAATTTCAAAATAAAACACAGCATATAGACTCCTGGTCGTATTTTCCATCACTTCATCAACATGACGTCAAAATGAATTCCCACGTGAGCTTGTAGTTCCCGTGTGATTTGTGTACAGCTGCTCATGGATGCGTTAACGCTCCACAAACGGGCCGGGTGGGGCCGGGCGCACGTTGTCAGACTATGTGGAACATTTTTTTTTTTTGTATTTGCAGACTTCACAGCGGCTCAGGATGGATGAAAACAGAAACACTCACATGTTGCAGTCTTTCACACACTCCCCACAGTTTCCGTCTTTCAGGTAGCTCGCCGCACGGTTCGAGTACAAGATGCCCAAGTCCTCGGGGTTCTTTGTA